GAGTGCCCGGTCTGCTTTGACTATGTCCTGCCCCCCATTCTGCAGTGCCAAGCCGGGCACCTGGTGTGTAACCAATGCCGCCAGAAGTTGAGCTGCTGCCCAACGTGCAGGGGCGCCCTAACGCCCAGCATCAGGAACCTGGCTATGGAGAAGGTGGCCTCAGGTAAGTCCGGCGACCACCCTCAAATCTGCCAAGCGACCGTCCAGAGTTCCGGTGTCCTCTGGCGCACTCGCAGGCCTTAAGAGGCGAATAGCCTCTCTCTCTCTCTCTCTCTCTCTCTCTCTCTCTCTCTCTCTCTCTCCTCTCTCTCTCTCTCTCCTCCCTCTCCTCTCTCTCTCTCCTGCCTCTCTCCTCTCTCTCCATCCCTCTCTCTCTCTCTCTCTCTCTCTCTCTCTCTCTCTCTCTCTCTCTCTCGTGTGTTGGTGTGTGTTTGTGAGTGTGCGCGTGTGCACACCTTGCCCACCGTTTCGGTGCCCACCTGTCCACCTTGGGAACAAGGGTTGATGTTTGCCAGAGCACTGACCCCAGACTTGCTGACAGTTAGGAGCATCCCGGCTCTTCCAACCCAGAGCTGCCGCGTCCCCTGCAGGCCTGTGCTCTGGGGCTGGGCAGCTCCGCGTCACTAAAACTTGGAGAGGGAAGCTGGCGGTGGAGGATTGTGGAGGTAGGAAACGGATGGTTTCCAGCAATAAGTTTTGCAGGAATCGTCCTGAATTCCTCCTGGACCCAGCGACTAAGGTTTGGGAGCCCTTGGGGGTGTAGCTACAAAGAAAGGGAGCCTGGATACAGCCTGCTACTGAGAAAATCCTGCAGTCACGCCTTCTCAGCTTCCCAGGTCTGGGAAGGACTCAGGGTTGTGGCTGCATTAGAAGTTATTGCTGCTGTTTGTTACTAAGTGCGATGAACTCGAGTCCACCAGGACTTAACGAAGACACCCAGGGGCTTTATTAGTTTTCTTCAGTGCCAACACTTTAAATAGAGTTATCTGTGCTCTTGGGGAAAAAGCTAACCACAAGCGAAAGTCCAGGTTCTCACTGCCTTGTCCCCACCAGTGTGTGTTCAGGGCCTGAATTTATATCCTCACAGCTAAGTATAGAACCATTAATGTCTGTCTGTTTCTGGAAGCCTTTCAAAATGCCCATATGGAGATTATGCTTACCCCCCCCCAACAACCAGCTTTTCAAAGTAATATCCTCACCTATTTCATGTCTGAAACTTGACCACCTGTATTTTAAATGACTGATAAGTTTACATTGTGTGGTCATACTGTAACACCCTGTTGCCTACACTGAACCCTCTTTAAAAAAAAAAAAAAAAAAAAGTCCTCACAGTCCCATTTATAAATCTCTTTATAGTGGAGACTTGTACCAGGGAGTTGATTTTCTGAACTAACTTACAGGTGGAAATAATGTTAATACTTCTGAGGGGGTTTTCATATTAAAGTAATTGTTCTACCTGAGGCTGTTTAAGTTGCCTTTCATATCTCCTCACTGTTGATTAGTGGGCAAGAGCTGTTTTCAATTAAAAATAGTTCACTGAAGAGTTTAATGTTAGGCTTGAGAGTCAAGTCAGTAAAATGAGTGACTTAATTTGGTCTTCTGCCCAGCTACAAGTTCAGCTAAAATAGCATATTCAAATGAGGGTTTGAGTGAGAATTTAGGCTATGGGGTCACCTTGTTGAATTGCTTGCTTCTAGCCCCACCCCTGTAATGCTTCCTAATTCATGAAGCTCAGGTGCTGCATCTCAGCAGTTTGAATAAGGTATTTCCACTACTAGCCCTCCCTCCACCCCACCCCTTTATTGAAATTAGACTTTTTTTTTCTTCTTCCTGTAATGTTTTCCCTACCTCTACTCCTCCCAGTTCCTTGCCACCTCCCCTTCTGTCTAGATCCATTCCCTTTCTTTTTCTCATTAAAAAACAATCAGGCTTCTAAAGGATGATAGTAATAAAAAGAAAGAAAAACATCAGAATTGGACAAAACAAACAGGGAAATGAGGCCAAGAAAATGGATAAGAAACCCACTTGTTTACACATCCAGAAATCCCATAAAAACACTGAACTGCAAACTGTAATATATACACAGAGGACCCGTTGCAGACACCTACAGGCCCTGTGCATGATGCTTCAGTCTCTGTGTTGGTTTAGAGATTGTATGTATGTATGTGTGTGTGTGTCTATACTCCATCCCTTGTGGGTCACTCAAGATGGTATTTTTTCTAGTTCCATCCATTTACCTCAAAATTCATTCCTTTTAATGGCCAAGTAATACTCCATTGTGTAAATGTACCACATTTTCTTTATCCATTCTTCTGTTGAGGGACATGCAGGTTGTTTCCATTTTCTGACTGTTATGAATAGAACAACAGTGAACATTGTTGAGCAAGTATTTCTGTGGTAGGAGGAAACATCCTTTGGGTATATACACAAGAGTGGTATAGCTGGATCTTAGGGTAGATTCTCATCTTCCTGAGAAATCACCATGATGATTTCCATAGTGGCTGTACAAGTTTGCATTCCCACCAGCAGTGGAGGAGTGTTCCCTTTATTCCACATCCTCACTAGTATGACTTGTCACTGTGTTTTTGATTGTAGCCATTCTGACAGGTAGAAGATGAGCTCTTGTATTAGTTTTGATTTGCACTAAGGATATTGCATTGTTTCTCGACATTTGAGTTTCATCTATTGAGAATTCTATTTAGATCTGTACCCCATTTTTTAAATTGGATTATTTGTTTTCTTGATACCTAGTTTGAGTTCTTTATATATTTTGGATATCAGCCATCTAATGGATATAGAGTTGGAAAAAATTTTCTTCCGATTCTGTAGGCTACCACTTTTTCTGAATGACTGAGTGCTTTGCCATGTAGAAGTGTCTCAATTTTCTGAGGTCCCATTTATTAATTGTTGAGCTTAGTGTATGTGCTAACAATGTTCTGTTCAAAAAGTCTTTTCCTGAGCCAATGTGTTACGTCTACTCCCCACTTTCTCTTCTGTCGGGTTCAGTGTATCTGGTTTTATGTTGAGGCCTTTGATACATCTAGGGTTCAGTTTTGTGCAGGGTGATAAGTATAGGTCTATTTGCATTCTTCTACATGCAGATATCCAATTTGACTAGCACCATTTGTTGAAAATGCTGCCTTTTTTCTAGTGTGTATTTCTAACTTCATTATAAAAAATCAGGTGTCCATAGGTATGTGGATTTATGTCTGGGTCTTCAATTCTTTTGATAGACATGTCTGGTTTTGTGCCGAGAAAGATGGAAATAACATCTTTCACAATAACCTCAAATAATATTAAATATTATATTATTGGGGTGACTAACCAAGCAAGTCAAAGAGTTATATGATAAAAACTTTAAGACACTGAAGAAAGAAATTGAAGATACCAAAAGCTATTTAATATTTTATTAAATAGCTCTGAGGTATCACTTGAATTTGGGAGTGGTTACACCTCCAACATTCCTTTTATTGTTCAGGATTATTTTAGCTATTTTTGTTTTTTTTCTGTATGTGAAGCTGAGAATTGGCCTTTCAAGATTTGTGAAGAATTGTGATGGCATTTTGATGGGATTTGCATTGAATCTGTAGATTGTTTTTGGTAGGATGGCCATTTTTACTGTATTATTTACTATATTTACTACTGATTTATGAACATGGGAGATCTTTTCATCTTTTGGTATCTTCAATTTCTTCTTCAGTGTCTTAAAGTTTTTATCATATAACTCTTTGACTTGCTTGGTTAGTCACCCCAATAATATAATATTTAATATTATTTGAGGTTATTGTGAAAGTGTTATTTCCATCTTTCTCGGTCTATTTGTCATTTGTATATAGAAGGGCCACTGATTTCTGTGAGTTTATTTTGTATCCAGGCACTTTGTTGAAACTTTTTATTAGCTGTAGGAGTTTCCTGATGGAATTTTTCAGGTCACTTATGTATACTACTATATCATATGCAAATAAAGATACTTTGACTTCTTATGATTTTCTGGATTTCCTCAGTGTCTGTTGTTATATCCCCCTTTTCATTTCTAATTTTGTTAATTTGGATAGTCTTTCTCTTCTTTGAGTTAATTTGGATAAGGTTTGCCAATCTTATTGATTTTTCTCAAAGACCCAATTTGTTTCATATTGTTCTCTTTGTTTCTATTTTATTTATTTCAGTCCTGAGTTTGATTATTTCCTGCCATCAACTCCTCTTGGGTGCATTTGCTTCTTTTTGTTCTAGATCTTTCAGGTGTGCTGCTAAGTTGCTAGTATGTGACCTTTCCAATTTTTTATGTGCACACTTAGTGCTATGAACTTGCCTTAGAACCGCCTTCATAGTGTCCATAAGTTTGAGCGTATATCCATTTCAATTCATTTCTAGAAAGCTTAGTATCTTTCTTAATTTCTGTCTTGATCCATTTATCGTTCAGTAGTAAGTTGTTCAGTTTCCAGGAGTCTGAATACTTTTTGTTGTTTCTGTTGTTGTTGATAATCAACTTTGACCTGTGGTAGTCAGATAGGACTCAGGGAGTTATTTGGATTTTCTTGTATTTGTTGAGACTTGCTTTGTGTCCAAGTATATGATCAGTTTTGGAGAAAGTGTCATGTAATGCTTTTACCTTAATTGTTCTAGTATTAATAAACACTCCGAAAGTCAGAAATTGAGATTAAAAACCTGATAAATCCAAGAAATAATTGGCCCTACTCTTCACTGTTCCCAGATTGAAAAGCCCTGAAATCTCATGCAGGGAGATAATATTTATACCAAAGAATAAAACCAAAGGATTATGGAGATTGGTAACAATAGATTACTCCCTTAATTTTGGCTTTCTTCTCCTATACCAGGTGACTCTTCTGACATGAGACAGACTTTGGATTTTCCTTTAACAGGCATGCTTGGGTTTAGAGAAGGAGAGAGCCACACTCCAACTCCAAAGCCAGATTTAATTTTTAGTTGAATTGGGCTACAAAATTTGCCTTATATGTCTGTAGAGAAAAACAGAAATGAACATTTCAGAAGATTTATGGAATTTTACCCTGTTGGAAGTATGCTATACCATTAGACCAATTTACTCTTTTTCTTGGGACATCTCTGAATGATTCATCCTTCTCATTTGCTCGGTGGTCTTCAGATTCCTTAGTTGGATGTTTTTATTCTCCTGGAAAGACAAAAACAAAATCTTGCCCCAACCATAAGTTTTCCTTTTTGGCAGGTTATGTCTGATCAAATGAAAGACATTTGTTAGTCTTACAAGTTAGTTTTCACAGAATGGCCACACTGTTTGATGAACTATCGCCTCTCCTAATCAAGAGGTCTCTCCTGTTTGAATCTAATCTTTATTAATCTTGATGATATCCGAAGCTTTTCTTCTCCTGTGGAAACAAAAGCAAAACCTGCTACCCCATGTAACACATATTCTGGTTTCCATTCTGATGTCAATTCGTCTTTAAAGTATGCAGGCTGATTTCATTCACTCTTTTTCTACTATCCAATGTCTCTCCGGAGGATCACTCCTTTCTCATTAGCATTAAAAATTTTTTGAGGTTAATAAAGCACTGTGTAATCTATCTCTGGGGGGGTCTTTATTACCCATTTCTGTCTATTTATTAAGCATATCTTTTCAAGTGTGATTAGATCTTTCTACAACTGCTTTGTCCTGAAGGATTATATGGTTTACCTGTAATACACTTTATGTTATACGCAAAAACTTGTTTCATTTTACTAGAGACATAAGCTGGAGCATTGTCAGTCTTAATTTGTATAGGTATTCCCATAATGACCATAGCTTCTAATAAATGTGTGAATATAGAATCAGCCTTTTCAGAACTCAAAGCAGTTGCCCATTAAATACTGAATATATGTCTATGGTATGGTGCACATACTTTAATTTTCCAAGCTCTGTAAAATGAAACATCCATTTGCCAAATTTCATTTGAGTAGCTTTGGTTATTTCCTACAGGTAGTGGAGTTTGGTTATACAGAGAACAGGTAGGACATTTCCTTAAAATTTCCTTGGCTTGTTACCAAGTGATAGAAAAATCTTTCTTCAAACCTTTGCTATTAACATGGTGTTTCTTACGAAATTCTGAGGTTTCTAGTACATTACCTACCGTTAGCTGATCAATTTCATCATTACCTTGTGCTAGAGGACTTGATAGACCCATATGAGATCTGATATGTTTATATACAAAGGATTTCTATTTCTGATTATATCTTGTAATTGAATAAATAACAAAGTTAATTCTGAATCATCTGGACTAAGTTCAGCAGTTTCATTATATACTACAAAACTTTCTGCATACTGAGAGTCAGTAACTATATTAAGAGGTTCTGGAAAATCTAATAATACCTTAAGAATGGCATATAATTCTGGCTTTTAACCAAATTATAAGGACGTTGAGGATCTCTGTGAGTTCGAGGTCAGCTTGGACTACAGAGTGAGCCCTGCCAGGGCTGTTACACAGAGAAACCCTGTGTTGGGAAAAATGAAAAAAAAAAAGTTTTTTAAAGGAAAGGGAATTGGGGGGGGGGGACAGAGGGAGGGGAAGTTGCAGTCAAGATATAAAATTAAGAATAAATAAGTGTACACACACACACACACACACACACACACACACACACGTATATATATGAGGCTTTTGAGCTATTTTACTTATTTTTCCTGACTTACAACTTTCCTGATTTACTTGCATCAGTATAGAATGCAGGGGCTCCAGAAATTGGTGTTTCTTGTACAATATAAGGAAGGATCCAATTTGTTCTTTTTATAAACTGAAGTCTTGCTTTTGAGATATTTGTTGCTAATGTCTCCCAAGAAATTACTGCAAGATCTTTGCCAATGTTCATTTTCTGCCCATAATGAGGCAATTTCCATATTTAGTATAAGATACCACTATTTCAAAAGGGAAAATGCTGCCAAATATTTATTTACACTGTGTGAAGAGGTGTCACTATGATTGGTTTAAGAAACAGCTGAATGGCCAATAGTTAGGTGAGAGAGAATAAGCAGGATTTCCAGGCAAAGAGAGGAACTTGGGATGAATCTAGGTGCATGAGAGATAAGAGGTAAATGAGCCATGTGGCAGAACATAGATTAATGAAAACAGGTTAATGGAAGAGCTAATTGGGGAAGAACCTAAGTTAAGCCAAGCTTTCATAATAATAAGTCTCCACGTCATTATTTATGAGCTGTTAAAGTTCCTAAACTTTTCATTTCCAAATTTCCCTTAGTTTGGGTTTTCTCTCTTGATTCTATTTCCACTTCAGGTTTTAAACTGTTTATTCATTTCCTTCCACTGGTGCTTGTGTTTTCCTGAATTCCTTTAAGGGCTTTATTCATTTCCTCTTTAAGGACCTCTATCGTATTCATAAAGGCTGTTTTAAGGTCTTTTTCTTGTGCTTCAGCTATGTTAGAATAATTGGGACCTGCTGTGGTAGGGTTTCTGGGCTGTAGTGATATCTTGTCCTGGCTGTTATTGATTGTGCCAGACACTGGAGTGCAGTCATCTGGGATTGGGAAGATTATAATTATAGGTGCTGATGTCTTATCTTGTCTTTGTGGTGTGGTTGTTTTGTCTTGGTTTCTGTTGCCTTCACTGGTTCTTAGGAGACTGTGGTGGCTGTGTTGCCTGATAGGAAATTATTCTGGGGTCTGGATAGTTGTGAGCACTGGGGATTCCAGAGAATATGTTTGTAGGTATTGGGAGCTGACATTTAGGAATGGTATGGGCTGGGGATGGTTGCGAGTCCTCAGGAAGGTAGAAAGGAGTATGTTCTACAAGCATCTGCTTAGTCCTCGAGAATAGGGTCATTGAGTGAGCAGAGTCCATAGCAGAGGGTCTGCTATAGACCTGAGGATGAGGCTGGGAGATTGGGTTTAGAGGAATGGAGGGAAAGAGGTAAAGATTTTCAGTTAGCCTCCCTACCTCCCCTGCCAGAGTGGCCTCTAGGTTCCCAGGGCATGCCTGCTAGTGTTGGGAGCTGAGATAGAGCAATAAGTGGGGAGTAGGGAAATTTGGAGGAGGAAATCTGTGTGATACACTGGGAATGGTGCAAGGTGGAGTGCAGCCTGTGGGGTGAGAATAGATGGTTGGGATTGGAGAAGAGGAGGGAGAGATGAAGATCTGCAGTTAGCCTACTTGCTTCCCTGGTCAGACTGGTCTTTCACAGCTTTCTTGAGTGATGAAGAAGGATGCTGCCTTGTGACCAGGGAAAAGCAGATGGTGGTTGACAGAGTGGATAATTGACATTTGAGAAAATTCAGGTGGTAAGAGATACCCCTCCAGATTCCTGCCAGAGCTGCTTTCTCCCTTTACTTTCCTCCAAACTTTCAGTGGCTATAGAAGAAATGCTGTACTTATAGTCAGTATTTAGTAGTGCTACTGGAGTGTGGCATTTTACTCTGGTATTCTTTCATAATATCCGAACAGACTCATGAAGTCATTCTTGAGCCTTAGGAAGACCACCAGTACATGTGTGAGTGCTTTTCTCAATCTATTCTTTAAGAGTGCAGTTGGACCAAGCCATCAGTAGACCAGGAACCAAGCTTGTAATAGGTGTTAGTTACTTTTCTATGTCCATATGAATGAGGTTTCTAAATCTGGAGTGTGCATCCCATACATTTGCTTAAGCAGTGATCCAAACTATTTAGCAGGGCAGCTCAGCCACTTGGTATGGATAAGCCAAATTTGGATGTGTGCTTACCGCAGTAACCAAAACTATTCATTGGAGATGAGAAATATTAAGGAATAAGGCCTGTGTCTGTGTCCTGTGTCAGACAAGGGGGTGAGGGGGTCTGTGTCCCTAGCATTTGTTTGTTTGTTTGTTTGTTTGTTTGTTTGTTTGTTTTTTGCCTGCACTTTGAGTCTCCTGGAATTCCTGGGGACTACCTCATCACTGCCCCCTGCCCTTGCTTCTATAAGCTAACTCATGCAAGAATACAGTGTTGAATATTCAATGCCCAGAGTCTCAAAAGTTGCCTGGCTTTCTCTGTTTACCAGAGTGGGCAGTGGGACAGAAGAAGTTTTGAGTTCCTCATCTATAAATGGAGAGTAAGACTGCCCAATTTCTACGGAGTCAGTTTTTATCCTGTGAAAAATTGGAAGGCTGTGTGGAACGCATTGCATCCCTGCTATGGACTAATTTGCAGGAGGCAGCATTTATTAGTTTGCCTTGTCTTCAGATGAGGAACTTCATGTCTGTAGACTCATTAAGTGTTAATTGACTTGCTAAGTCACATAGTCAGGCACACATCTGGTGTACTCCTTAGTGCATGGGAATTTTGAATCTGAATTTTTATTCCAAGCTTTCAAGTTATAATTCAGGGCTGACATTAGTAACAAAGCCATCTGATTGGAGGAGTTTGTAAGATGACGCTGTCCCAACACAGCTTTGAACTGTTGGATTAAAAAGAATGGAAGTGTTGCCAAATAACTACCTTATATAAAATATAATTAAAGTATTACCACTCCTTTAACATAGACTATGTGAATTAACCCAGATCTCCCTTTTTAAGAATTTATATCAAAATAGTGCTTACTTAGGGTATTTTCAGCTATTCTTCATCTGTAGCTGAGAATTTTTGACAATCTATTCTATGTCTCAGTGGAGAGTGGGTGTAGGCAGCAGTATGAAGGTTGGTATGTCAACAGTACAGTATATTTCACCACTCGGAATGTATTTTTAACATGTATTTGTTTGTTAGGTGTACATGCTTATGTGTATGGGCACACTGTGGAAGTCATAGGACAGCTGTGGGAGTCGGTTCTCTCCTTCCATCACCTGGATCAGTCTTGGTGGCAGAGGATCAAACTCAGGCCATTGGTTTGATGGCAGGTGCCTTTACCTACTGAGTAATGTCACTCCGCCATCTCACTGGTCCCTCCGTAGTGATTTTGTAATTTCTCTCCAGGCTGTAGGAAATACCAAACCTCTCTAGTCTACTTTTACAATATTATATATTTTCCATTTTTATATGTCTTCTTTGAAGGTTCCTATAATATGACTGCATATCATCACTGAATTTGAAAGCCTCAGCTACATAAGTCTTTTCTGTGGTTAGATTGTGACAATGTTCCTTTAAAATAATAATAATAATAATAATAAGGTCAAACAACCTAGTTGGCCCTTTCTTTAAAGGAGTGGCCGGCCCTGTGTAGTCTGGTTGATACTCCCAGGAACTAGGAGTACAAGGAAGAAAGGTAACTGACACACATAGCCTCAGGGGCTGGGAAAGCCTCCTCAGGGGCTGGGAAAGCCTCTAGAGCAGTCTCAACCTTCCTGGGCCATTTAATACAGTTCCTCTCCTCAAGCTGTGGTGATCCCCACAATGAAAATAAAAATTATTTTCATTGCTACTTCATAACTAATTTTGCTAATTATGAATTTGAATGTAAATTCTGTTTTCCCATTGTCTCAGGTGACCCCATAGAGGTTGTGGCCCACAGGTTGACAACCACTGCTCTAGACAGGCTAGGAGCTCAGGTCCCTACAAAGAGGGCAACCCCTAAACTGAGCTGTATCACCTGAGCTCAGTTGGAGCACAGGACTCCACATCATACCCCCCAAAAAAAAAAAAAAAAAAAAAAAAAAAAAAAAAAAAACCAGAAAGCAGCCTTTGCTCTTGCCTAAGAGCTGGGAATGTGGACCCAGCCATGCCAGGCATTCATAGGAGAAGAACTAAAAAAACTACAAACTGGACTTTGATGTCAGATCTCAGCCCCTTCCCCCTCCCTCTTTCTCTCAACAGTTGTTTTCTTTGGAAGTTGTCTCTGCACTCTTTATGATGCCTGAAATTGACCAGGTTGGCCCGGAGACTTAGAATAGTACACAAAGAATCAGAATTCACATCCATTACTCCAGGGCTCAGGACTTTAAAGAACAAGATTGACAGTACAGCTTTTGAATGTTAAATAGAACTGAAGGGCTAGAATATCACATAGTAGTGCTAAAGTTTAATGTTGATTCTAATGTAATTGACCAATGAATGTCCCTGGTCACCATGATTTGGCGCTAGAGTAAACTGTCGACTAAAGTTGATTTTTTCCTACAGCCAGACTAGAAGCCAACTGAAAAAATATGGTAGATCTGGCCCATAAAGTGCCAGCCAGAGATTCGATTGGAGTTTCTCATTGTTCCTTACAGCTCTTTCTTGTGAGCCCCTTACAAAGTATTGCATTGGTGTGATTGAATGGAGGTCAGGCTAAGTAGCACCTTTTATTCAAACATATAGGGCCCTCACTTACTAGAGGGCCAAGATGGGTCTCACCTGAGTGCCAGTGCCCAACCACTACCAAGTACTGCCGGGAAATTTTGATTATACATGGGTTTTAGAACAAGGATCCATTCTGAGCATCCAGAAAAGGAAACTAAAGATGTTTGTTCTGGTTAAATGTGTCTTCATGCTTCAGGTACTTCCAAGGACTTGCTGGAGCTCCTGAAAATGATGAGGTGGTACTCTGTTAACTTTGCATCGGTCACCCATCTTTTTCTGTTAGTTCCTTGATAAATAGTCAACTCTCCTTGTTTACTTCCAGTTTGGTAATGACTTTTTAGACTGTGTGGTATCTATGGGAAAAAAATTTACCACAGAGACTGAATGGGCAGTGTTCCTGTGGTAAAGATGTGGGTTTGTGCACTCTTTTAAAACTTTGAGTGTTTGTGCACTCTTTTAAAACTTTGAGTGAACAAGGTGGTATCTTTGGTCCCTCCTACTGCTAGGTTGCCTTGCTCTGAGCAGGCCTCCTTCACTCTATTCCCACTGTGGCGGCTGCTAACTCCTCTCAGCCCCAGAGGCTCATTTGTAAAATGGGGGGGTGGATGTTGGGGAGGGTGATGATTCTGCCCTGGCACTAAGTGCCTAGCGCTGCCCACGTTTACTACGTGGGCAAATAGATGCACAGTTAGAAGCTCAGAGGAAGTAAAAGATGAATGTGGTATCACTTCGGGCAGACATAAACTTTGGGGAGGGAGGAAGAATGGCTCTTACTTTCTCCCACAATTTTTCTCACTGGGCTTCTTTCCCCAACTTCTGGTGGTGTAAGCCCATCATAGGGTTTCTTTAGAGCCCAGTGATGTAGCCCTGACATGGTTCATTGGAGTTTCAGGATTAGACTTTCTCATTCTTCCCATTTCTGTAATCTAATTTTCTTTCTTTCCTTCTCCCCTCCCTCCCTCCCTCCTTCCCTTCCTCCTTTCCTTTGTTATGTAGCCAAGGCCAGTCTCAAGTCCATGATCTTCTTGCCTCACTTTCCTGAGGTGGTGAGCATGTGCCACTGTTCATAGGATCAGTTTTAAAGCCTAGTCTGGATAGGCATCACTATTAAGTATATATATTTTATTTTATGTATCTTATTTTTCAAATTTTAAGTTATAATTTTATTTACATTTTTATTCAGAGGGAAACAGTGATCATTTTTTCAAATATACAACTGAAGAGAAAGTGATATAAAATCAAAATGCTCTATAATTCTCCCCCTAAAGATAACCATGATACCATTCCTTACAAATATACTTGTAACATAATGGTTTTTTCACTCACACCTTTCCCACCAAGAAAAATGAGGAGTGATGTTTTTTATGCTGTTTTGGGGCTTTTCACATTGTGGCTGCTTTTCTACTTTGATAAACGTTCTTTGAAGTCATGTTCAATGCTACATCACACTGCAGTTCTCTAATAGCACCAGAGCTTTTCAGTAAGCTTCCTATTAGTAGTCATTTTTAATCTTGCTTTCTTGTTGTGATTTTTTTAATTACTGCTAACCTGAATCCTTGGGCGTAATTTGACTATTTCCTAAGGATGCTGTTTCTAGGGTTTCTATAGTACATAAGGAGACAGGCCTTTTCTTGGTAAAGCCAAACTAGTTTAGACCTTGAAACTTACTTGCAGTTCCCTTTCTTCCCAGCATCCCCATCACTGGGTGTTGTCCTTTATGGCCTGAATGCTGCTAATGATTCAATGCTCCCTGAAGTAAACTCAGGCCTGAGCTGGCTACTGCTCTTGACACACTCAGTTTTAACCACCTCATTCTTGTCTGACATCCTCCTATAGCCCTAGAGCCTTTCTTCTCAGTGACCCATCTGTCTGCCTCACCTGCCACTGTCCCCAATCTCTTTCCTTGAATCTAATAGTAGAGACAGGCCAGCAGAGCAGCAGACAGGAGTCACCGGGGTGTGGGCTGCACTTTGCTCCTGAAGGAGGGGTGGAAGGTCACCACGTGGACCTCAGTGAGGCCAGTGAGGACCTCTGGAGAATACTGTTTCCTTCCTTTTGGGTGCCCAACAGGTTGTCACTGTTATCCCCCTATCCTTGTGAAGGAGATGGGATACAATTAGCATACCCCATAAAAAATGAATGCTCTCTGATTTGTCAGTTTGGACAGTACAGACTGCAGTCTGAGACAGTGACTTTTCTCTTACAACACCTGTCTTTTCTGCCATCCACTCTGCTTGGCTGGGGACCAACCCATCATCCCCTTCCCACTACAGACTCAAAGCACTGGCTTTGGGAGGGATGCCTTTGGTAGCAGAGAGGTCCTCTTACCAAGGTGGCCAGATGGAGCTCAGAATGCCTAGTCAGATTTGAATTTCAATTAAGCAACAGATAATTTTGGAAGGAGGTATATAAAAACAAAACAAACAACAACCTGTCTGGAAGATATACTGCACAACTTGTATTTTATTTGTTCATCTAACAACCCTACCAATTCTTCTGGTGAGAAGAATTTATTGTTTTAGCCAATAAAAGGCTGGTAAGGGAAAAGCCTTAACACCTGTCAGTGTTGTCAATACGATTGTGCAGGTGGGAACCTAGCATTGAAGAGTGGGGGAATATTGAAAGGGAGTGGGCCAAGTGCTAGTGGCAGAAAGCCTTTGACTGGTAATTTGTTCAAGTGCTTTTGTTTGCACTAAAAGGACCTCACAAAACTGGTTCCCAGTGACAGTGTGTACTTGCCTGCTAACTCTGGCTGTGGACAGATAAGCACATAGTCAAAAATCAACTTTTGCTCAAAGTTTCTAAGATTGAAAATAAACTATTGCTACCTGAGAGTCTTTGCCAGGCCCTCTCTCTATCACAGAATGTTTTCAGAGGTAACAATTACCCAAACCCAAAAAGTCTTCCACTAACATACCATTTAGTAAGAAAACTGTCTATGGTATGTGATCTATCTTGTCTTAGGAATAACGGATGGATTTGTAAACCCACGATTTAAATTAGAGTGGCCTTCCTCTAAACAAAGTTCGTCAAATTCACAGTATATTAGTCTCAACGGTGTTTGATGACACTGTTTGACAGTTCTGGGCTCAGTAATAGTATCTTCTCATTTATTTTCTGTGAAATTGTCACTGCCCTGCTGGCTGATACTTATGGCTTCCCACTGCCTCGGGAGTGGAAGTGAGGAATTAACCATATGAGTTACAGGAAAATACACCAGGGTGTTTAGGGGAAGATCTAAGCTGATACAGGCTCAGCAGCTTAACTCTGTCCTGTTCAAGGGTTAACTTGAGTACACACTTGTATTGTTGAGCAGACTAACAGGCTCAAGGGCAAACAGGAAGGCACTGGCTTTCTAACGCAGATACTCCACCAATGGTTGTAAATCTGCTTCAAGAGAAGTATACACTCATTGACAGGACAGCAGGCTTGTTGTTTCTGGTCTGTGGGACATTTCAGAAGAGTTAAAAACACCACACTGTAGTTGCTTATATAAATAAAATATTTGAAACATCTTGATATTTAAAAGTATGAACATTTTTCTTACATGATCCAAAACTACTGAAGGTTTCTTTAATACTAAAATCTACAGTAAAATTTCCAGTTCGAGTAAAATCAACATGGTGGGAGACTGTCCATCATCTGCAAATAATCACTTGTCATTAAGTACCAAGTAGACAAGGAGTAGGTAGTAGAACCAGTAAATCAGAACTGAAAATTATTAGACCAATAAAAAATTGGAAAATAATCTATGATCACTTGGTGATATTTGGGGAGAAGATAAATATTTTAATCACAGAACTAGTTTGAATTGCCAGAAGGCTCTATTTTTGTTTTTAAAGACTAATTTTTTAATGATTTATTTCTATTTTATGTGCATTGGTGTTTTGCCTTATATGTATGTCTGTGTGAGGGTGCCAGATCCCCTGAAACTGGAGTCACAAACAGTTGTGAACTGCCATGTGGGTGGGTCCTCTGAAAGAGCAGCCAGTGCTCTTAACCACTGAGTCATCTCCAGCCCCTAAAAGTGTGGTTTTTGTTTTTTTAATGGTTATTTTGAGGCTGAACATGTATGGAGTTGCCTCATATGCACAGTCCTTTCCCCAGCTGTGTTGCTTCACTAAAAATGAGTCCCACAGAACCTTGAGGGGAAAAAAAGTGAATAATTTTGATAAACCTAAGTGTTCCCATACTGAATTTAGCATACTATAGTAGGTTCACCTGAAATTCCCATTTGAACAAGTGTAAAGAGTGTTGAGAAGACAGCCAGCAACTGGTTAGTTCCCTGGTTATCTGCTGGTCATGCATGATAAATTACATCTCCCTCCTGTTAAATTCACACACTGTGCTCTATTTCTAGGAGCCATGTGAGAAAATGGTGGATAGGGCTAATTCCATCCTGGAACTCACATTTTAGATGGGGTCTTAGAATAGAATAGACCTGTCTATGTGGTGGATATTGTTACTGAAGTGGCCAGAAGAAGCAGAGCAGGTCTCAGAGCAGCAGACCAGTGACTGTCAGCCTTGGCAGGCTGATCAGTGATGGAGGATACTGTCATCTGAGAGTACCAAGGCAGGCTGAGCAGTGATGGTGGATAGTCTGTCTTGTGTGAGGACCAGAGACAAGTTGTGGTTTTTTTTTTTTTTTTTTTTTATGGCAGTTTGTCTCTTCATTGTAAAACTGTGTTGCTTCACTAAAAATGAGTCCCACAGAACCTTGAGGGGAAAAAAAGTGAGTAACTTTGGTTCATTTCCATGTAGATGTTTTATGCTAGAAAGGTGTTTACTCCCAGGAAAACACTAGGAGAAAGCTCAATTCATTCAACCAACTCCTCAAAAGGAACCTTTATCCCTTAAAATGTAAATGTGCTAACATCTCTCCTAGATTTTTAATTTTGATGTAATTTAAAGCATAGACAACAATTTCAATATTGCTGTAAAAAGGGGCGGGGAGGGGGGAATGGCCTTTACCCAGATCCTTCTTCCCCATGTGTGTTTTCATTTTGCTTTTCGGCTCAGACCTACATTGTTAAGCATGTGAATGTATGAAAGCTGCAGACACTCTGCCTGACCCATTTCTTTTCCAAACCAGGACATCTTCTCCTGCAATCAGGAAATAAGACAGAGCACAGATGCTGTGCTCACTCATCTGCAGTCACATGCAGACCTCGGTGTTGTCCTAGAAATGCCCTTTGCAGAGTTGAGGGCTGCTGCCCAGGCCATAGCCACAATTGTATTTAGCCATCAGTGTGCATTTTATGGTCATTAGAGTTTATTTAGATTGGAGCAAAGTGCTGTTTGCTTGTGCTTACTCGGGAAAAGGTCACTTCTGAGATTAGATTCACATCCAACAGCAGAATGTCGGTTCTGTTTTATTTTTTATTTTTTGAGACATTCTCATGTGAGACACTGGCTTATATCCTGCTAATGAATCTGAGCTGTTTCCTTGGAGGTAAGCGGATGGGGGCAGGGCATTTACCTCCCAGTGCCCCAGAGGAACCCACTTCTGCCACAGCTCCTGGCACCTCCATTGTTGTGGAAGGTCAGTGCTCAGTGCGTCATTCTGGAATTACACAGAATCAAGTTTAATGAAACAGATTAAATGACTGGGCAAACCTTCCTCAGCACACACAGCCTTTATTAGCAATCTGGATGAGAGAACGTATTTAGCCTATAACCTCACTTTATAAAACAGTAGTGTTTCTAGTAAACAGCAACACTACTGTTCAGTATGCCATGGTATCTCATTATACATACTTGTATATGAACAGGTTTTGTATTTGTATTTGAAAGGGTTTCTGTGCCAAAAAAGGAAACTCTGCCTAAATCCCACCTTAAATACAGCCTTTAAACTTCTTATGAGGGAAAGAATGGAACTATTTGCTGCTTTCTGAAAAGACTTCCATGCGAAGCAGCAGGTTACACACAGGCTTTCAGTGGCAGGACATGTTTGCACAAGACCTTTTCGTGGCAGCGCCTGGCAGGCTGCTACACAGGCAGGTCCTCAGTGTGATGTCCACATTTGTTTCTCCTTCTGCTCCTCCCCTCACTCTGTAGCTTTGAGTTGGTCCTCCCCAACCTCCATTATTTTTCTGTGCCCCTTTCTTTTTTCAGAGAGGTTTACTTAAAAATTAACCCCACCCTTTGGGGAAGCAAGCACATCTTTCCCAAAGGAGAAGTCTCATTTATAGCTGGGGTGTGTCCCAGGACACACAGGCCTCTTCGAAGGAGCCTAGGGACTCCACTCAGCAGCACTTGACTACAGGAAGAAACCAGGCCTGTAAATGAAAAGCCCTCTCACCACAAATGCCAAGGATAGAATCATTTGTTTCAAATGGCCCTAGATCATTGAGCCATGACGGTGTCCAGTAGGTAGCATACATAGCATGAATGAGCCAGACAGTGGGGTGGCTTGACTTAATAATTAAGACTGTTTTTCTTGCAGATCCTTTTTAGTTTAGCTACCATAGAAATGGCCCCAGTGGCCCTGAACCACCACAGGGGGAAATGATGCCGTGTTCAGTATGCCATAGATGGGTCTTGAAGCTCAGCTGGTTTAGAAGAAACAGTGTAAAACACCAAAGGTTTTAAAAACATGTTTAAGTAAAGCCTGTAGCAGGATCTTTTCAGAAGGCCCTGTCCACACAGGTTCAATTAAATGTCTCCTCTTTCTGTGTGACTTGGGGAGTGACCCTGAACAAGAGTTACATGTGTGTCAACTCAAAGCACTGTCCAGCTCCATCTGAGACCACAGTGCTTTAGGAGTGACACATGGCTAACTGAGATTGTTGAAGACTTAATCAGAACACAACCCTTGTGCCCTCTCAGACATGGATAAGCACTATGCTTGGTGATGGTCCAAGGAGAAACCTGTTCAAGTTGATGCCAAAGATTTACTGCCAACCTTGTTCCCCCAAGGGAAAAAATACACACGTATAAAATATTTAGATCAATGTTTATAAAACAATCGCTTTGTGAATGTCATGATTCCTGCTTTGGAACAAAACTGATATCCTCTAGTTCAGTTTGTGTTCTGTAAATAGCAGCTCCTATGCCATTCTCCCTGTTTTATTAGTTAATTTAAACTGACACTCTCGACTGTTCCAGTCTTATAAATAAAACATATAAATTAAAAAAATGAAAGAAAAAAAAAGAGTTACATGTGTGACAACCAAGTAATAGAGCACATAAAGATTCCTTTCCTGAACAGAGCACATTCCCAAGCCAGGCTGGTCACAAACACTTGCTGTGAACGTTGGCTCTGGGGGCTAGAGTAGCCTGGGGCTGTGGGAAGAGGCTGGGAACATGCTGTCCTGGATGCTATCCCTTTGCCAGACTTTGCCTTATTCCTGGGCTTCATCCTGGGCAGTTAAGGTCAGCAGCCCATCCTATGACATCTTTGGATCCAGACACTGAGCCAGGCTCTAAGAAGTTCTTGCTATTTTTGTTGTGTTTATGTGTTTTTAAAACTCTGAAATGCCTCACCCACTGTCCACAGAAGATCATCAGGAGGCTCTCTGTCCTGCCCACACCCAGATTTAAAACAGTGTATGGGGACTTCTTAGTATTTAAAAACCTGAGAACAGAGAGTAAACAGAAAAGGGATAAATCTTTCTCCTGCTGACCAAGAATTTCTCTTTACCTGAACTTTTAAAAAATTAACCTGTGGTTCAGAAACACAAAGAAGTGATTTCTGTCAGCAAAGAACTACTTCTGCCAAGGTGATAGAGGCATGAGCTGCCTTTTTGTTTGTTTTTGTTTTCTGTAGTAGAGTTCTGTGTGGTTCAAGAGAACATGAAATATGCAATCCTCCTGCCTCAGCCTCCAGAGCAATAGCATACAGACACAACACACACACACACACACACACACACACACACACACACACACGCCCTGTATTTTTTAAGTGTCTTTGAGTTCTCTGTGGGGAGAGGCTGTAGTCTTGGCTTCTGCATCCTCTCAGAGCCTTGAGTTTGGTGTCCTGTGTGGAGAAGGTGCTCAGACCCTCTTTGTTGCTGGAAAGTCATTCTGTAAGGATTGGAAGCTGACCTATGTTAAGTTTCTAAGGGGTTATTTCATAAGGCAGGGTAGGGAGAAGCAAAGGCAGCTGTGAATTTACAGGTTGGTTTGCTTTTCTATCTTAGTATCTCAGAAAGACAGCCTGGCGCTGTCATTTCTTTGGTACCTGCTTGCTTCAGTGGAGGGCTGGAGACTGTGTTCAGTAAGCCAGACAGTTTATCTGCCACCTGATGCTCAAAAGTGAGGCACTCACTCCTCATTTTACATTAAAAGTGGTTGTCATTTCTTAATTCTTCCTGTGACCACAGCACAGGTATCTGTTTGTGGGTTGATCCGCCCTCTGGTAACTAGAATTGCCATTGTCATTGTGAAAGTTGGGAGCAGAAATCTACCTCAGTCCCATATGACAGGTATGATATATCTACTGGGAATGTCCTGAGAATGGGAAGGAAAAGACAGATTTTGTCCTACCCTAGTAAGGCACTGTCCAAAGGGCAGACTCTTAGAAGTTCATCCAGCTTACCCTCTCCCAGCCTCTAATGAGGACTTGACCAGCCTCACCAGGAAGAGATACATGTTTGAACACAATGATGAAGCATTTAACTAATTAATCTTTATCAATAAAAAATGAGGACTCAAATATTGGGGTAAGAACCTAAGATACCAGAGAAAATGCGGAGAAGCCACCAACCACGACCTCTCTCTTCTATTCCTTCCTTCAAAAGGGCTAAGATCCTCTCTCAGCCCCACTTTGCTACTTCCTGTCTCCTTTCTGCCCATAGTCCTCCAACCCTCTATAGTTAGTTTTGGTCAGCTACTGGCTAGCTCTGCCCTCTGACTCAAAGCAAGCTTTATTTTCAGAATGAAATCAAAAAATCACATAATTTTTCCTATGTCTAGTAAAAGGGAAGGTTTTAACTAATATAGTAAAACTATATACAATAAGTACAATAACTGCAAATATATAGAGAAATAAGAATTACATTAACAATGTCTAGTCCATTTGCATTTGGAAAATTCAGGGAAAATACTCCATTATCTATCCTATCTTGGTGAGTCTAAGTTTTGTACCTAATTCACTTTCTATCCTAACTTGCATAACCACCCCCAAACTACCTTTTTATGTCTCTCAATCTTATACTCATTATCTCTCTTTTGTGAGTTTCTTTTCTGAATTTGGTAACAAAGAAAACTATAGCTATCTAGTCTTCAACTCCATCAAAGATCTGAGAAGGATATATTACCTGAACAAACAGGAAGTGTAGAGCAAACAATTTCAAAAAAATAAATTAATAAATGACAGAGACAGCTGGCTGCCTGGACAGTCACCCTAGGCTCCTCTGTAATACTGGGGCATCCATCTTCAGTCTACAGGCCTAGAATATCTGACAGACTTTTTTGATAATCAGGATTTTGAAGGACTGTCCTACCTTGTTTTGGCAAAGTTTGGCAGTCATTTTTGTTGTTTGTTGTTGTTTGTTGTTGTTGTTGTTGTTGTTGTTGTTGTTGCATCCTGCTGGTCCAGCTTGGACAGTAACTGTCAGCAATCAAGGCAAGGGCAGTTTCTTTGCCCACATGGCTACCTTTTGCCACAAAAAAAACAAACTCCATACAAAGTTTTTTCAATGCCCATCATCCTCTTTGAAGTACTGCCAGAAGCAGATGTGTCTCACTGTCATGAAAAGCCTTAGGTTATTAAACATATTAAATGCCATATTCTGTAGGTCTTTAAAATGTTTGAAGACCATCTGTCTATCTAAATAAATCTGTATATGACCTTGAAAACATACCTAACGTAAATATAAGTTTGACTGTTATAGATGACCATTGATATGTATTTCTTAATATACATCACATTTTTAAAGGAGCTGCATAATCATAATACCCCAAACAAGAGTAGAAACATACAAACAGTATAACAAACTCTAAATTTGTATCAATAAACTAAAATCCATACCAATGTAAAATATTTTGAGATTAATAGCTGTTTTTATGGATTAAAGCAGATTCAATAATCTACCCTTTTTTCCTATTATTCCTGTATCATATCTCCCCTTTTCAGGGAAACTCTTTAAGGACTTTAAGGAAAGATTTGATCAATTTCATTTTAACCTCTGCTAAGATAATAGACAGGACGCCAGTCTTGAATGAGATTTCTTTTAAAACAAATGAAAAATTGTAGGCACAGCACTTGCAGGGCAGCCAAGTACAAAGGAGACAGCAAGATGTGACAGAGTTCCAGCCTCCTCCTCCTCCTGCACCCAAGGTTGGCCACACTGGCAATCAAGAACAGGGAAGCACAAGGGAGGCTCCCACTAACTAGATGATCTGGCATCAGTCTAAGTCAGGAAGGAGTAGAGTTGAGACTATGCTCTATCTTCAAAGACATCTGTTTGCAGGAAAAGCCTAGAAGTGATCCAGGAGCCTTTGCCCACCCCACTCCCAAGCAATTGAATTCTTGCTCTTGAAAAGGAGTCAGGGGCTACAGAAAATGAGAAAGTGGCCAAGTTATCTTAATAGTTTTGCTTGTTTGATATACTTAAAAGAACTTTAATTCTCACCCTTCACCATTGTTGGGATGAGTGGTCTAGAAAGCAGTACCCTGACTTTATGCATGATGCTATTGACAATCAGTAGAAACTGAAACTTGTCTTAAACACTTGACTCTTGAACAAAAGTAGTTGAGCTGAAGGTAGAACTTGAGCCCAGGAAACTTGTGTGGGTAGGTATGCATAGATGTTGACACCAAGGAGATTTTGAGAGGGAGCCATGATGCAGTGTTTCTTTCTGTCTCTGCAGTATGCTACTACGGGCTGTTCCCTGACTCTCCACCATACAGAGAAACCAGAGCATGAAGACATCTGTGAATACCGTCCCTATTCCTGCCCCTGTCCTGGTGCCTCCTGCAAGTGGCAGGGATCCCTGGAAGCCGTGATGTCCCATCTCATGCATGCCCACAAGAGTATCACCACCCTTCAGGGAGAGGACATAGTCTTTTTAGCTACAGACATTAACCTGCCAGGGGCTGTAGACTGGGTGATGATGCAGTCCTGTTTTGGTCACCACTTCATGCTGGTACTTGAGAAGCAAGAGAAGTATGAAGGTCACCAACAGTTTTTCGCCATTGTCCTCCTCATTGGCACCCGCAAGCAAGCTGAGAACTTTGCCTACAGACTGGAGTTGAATGGAAACCGGCGGAGACTGACCTGGGAAGCCACACCCCGGTCCATTCACGATGGTGTGGCTTCAGCTATCATGAACAGTGACTGTCTTGTTTTTGACACAGCCATAGCACATCTCTTTGCGGATAATGGGAACCTTGGAATCAATGTAACAATTTCTACATGCTGTCAGTGAGATTCCAGGAGTCTTTCATAAACCTGGGAAGTTATTTGGGCATAACGCTCTATGTTTAATAAAGTTGTTTTTTAATAGATGTTTTATTCATTATGTCTTCCCACGTCAAGACCCACAACTGTCCTGTGTTTTGTATAAACAGCAGCTTCCTGTCTGGCACTGATGAAACAAAGTTCACTGGACTGTGATAAATGGGGTTGGCCTGTTAGTGATTGGGAGGCTGTTCTGTGATCTCAAATCAACTCTATTCTATTGACTTCCTGAACGGCTTTTGACAGATCTCAGGGCTGCTCCCACCTGCCTCATCCTGAGCTGACAAGAGCAGTGGCCTTCATGAGATTCCTTTTCTTTCAGGGAGGTAGGAATTGCTTTCATATCCTTCAGGCTGGGGTGGCTGGACAGTTTACACGGAATCACCTGTAGCACTCTTCTCCAACACAGATTTAGAGAACCCATAAAGTTGAATCTCATCTTTTCAAACAGTTTGAGGATTGCCTGCTTGAATCGTGGGGAAGAGTCCAGGATCTAAAGGTGCTGTAACGCTGTCTGACACTGTTGGTTGGTCTCTACTGTTTCCTCCCACAGCCTCTGCACACACCACATTGAAGCCAGGACTTGAGATCCACGTGGACACACATCTGAGGCTTGGTTGCTCTCGTGTGTTCAGTGAGTTGAGAGTTCTCACATAGTTAGTTCTTGCTTACCATAGTCTGGATGACCTGTTTACACGTGACTTGGAAGCCCTCCTTGACAGTAGATGATGTGAAAGACTAGAGCAATAGTTGGGAAAACTTTACAACCAGTCTCACATGCTTGCTATTTTAAAAGCATGTGTCAGTTGTGTGGGTTTGGGGTTTTTTTGTTGTTTTGTTCTTGTCTTTTTTTTCCCCTCACACTCTAATTTTTTAATAAAATTTTTTTCAAAAAAATGAATGTTGTGCTTCATTTTCCTGCTTGAGTCATAGGCACTTATTGAGCATCTACTGTGTACAGATGCAAGGAGCCACTGCCACTCCCTCCAGAACTGGGACTTTCAGCATGCCCCTGTGAGCAGAGTCCCTTGTTCAAGATTGGGGACCCCTTGTGTCTAAACCCCTGGCTGTGCTATGGGTTGTCATTAGTGGTGCAGGTCACATCTCCAGGACTGAGTTTGCTCTCTGACTGCCACCTGTCATGTGAGAAAACACCCCGCCCCCATTTTTCCAAAATCCGAAAGAAGAGGTACAGTTAGCATTGAGGCCCAAAATCTTGAGGTTCATCCACAGTGCCACACTCTCGCCTTCTAAGCCCCTAAGGTCACAAAGGAATTCAAATTAGCCCTGAACTTTGTTATAGATTTTAGTGACATGATTAAGCTAACCCAGCAGCCATTGGAAGTGATGGCTTTGTCCTCTGAGAGACGATATTAAGCTTTTATGAAACAGTTCTGGCAGGTAAGTAAGGAGTGCTGTGCTGGCTAACTTGATGCTAACTTGACACAAGCTGTAATTATTTGAAAAGCGGGAAACTCAATTGAAAAAAAAAAGTACCCACCAGATTTGCCTGTGGGCAATTTTCTTTATTGATGATTGACAAGGAAGGGTCCAGCTCCCTGTAGGTAGTGCCATCCCTGAGCTATTCCTCCTGGGTGTTTTAACAAAGGAGGTTGAGCAAGCCAATAAGCAGCACTCCACCATGTCCTCTTTATCAGCCCCTGTCTCCAGATTTCTGCTCTGCTCTGGATTCCTGCCGACTTCCTTCAGTGATGGACCCTGATACAGAAGCATAAGCAAAGTAAACCCTTTTCTCCTCAGGATGCTTTCTTTGGATATGGTGTTTTACCAAAACAATAGAAATACTGACTAAATGATTGCTAAGGTAAATTCTAGGCTATTTTCAAATAAGATAAAAACTGTCATGTACAAATGGGGGAGGGAAGTATGAGAAGAGGGTAGAAAAGGATGGGGGGAGGAGAACAAGAGGGATCAGGAAGATTGAGCGTGGAGAGGAATAGAGGAGAGCAAGGAAAGAGACATCAATAGAGGGAGTCATTATAGGTTTAAAGAGAAATCTGGCACTAGGGTAATGTCCAGAGATCCACAAGGATGACCCCAAGTAGGACCCTAAGCAATAGTGGAGAGGCTACCTTAAATGCCCTCCCCTAGAATGACAATGATGACTACCTTAAATGCCATCATAGAGCCTCCATCCAGTAGCTGATGGAAGCAGAAGCAGAGTCCCACAGCCAAGCACTGAGCCAAACTCCTGGAATCCATTTTCTGACAGGAAGGAGTGACAAACAAAGGGGTCAAGACCATGCTGGGAAAACCCACAGAAACAGCTGACCTGAGCAAGTGAGAACTCATGGACTCCAATCTGACAGCTGGGGAACCAAGACATAGGACCAAACCAGGCCCCCTGAATGAGTGTGTCAGCTAGGAGCACTGGACAGTCTATTGGGCCTCTGGAAGTGGAACCAGGATGTATCCCTAGTGCACAAACGGACTTTGGGAGCCTATTTCCCATGGAGGGATACTCCCTTAGCCTAGATACACAGGGCTGGGCCTAGGCCCTGCCCCAAATAACTTGACAGATTTTTATGATCCCTCATGGAAGGCCTCACCCTGCCTTGTGGAATGGATGGGCGGGCGTTGGGATGGCGGGATCAGTGGGGGGTATGGAAGGGTGGGAAGGAGAGGGAACTGGGATTAATATGTAAAATAAGATTGTTTCTAATTTAAATAAAATTTATTTTTAAAAAGTAGGTACAATATATTTTTCAAGTGGCACTAACTACATCATTTCTCACACTGATGGAGGTGAACCGGCACCCATTCACTCTCATCTGGCTCCATCATCGTGAATATAAGTGGGCTGAACCTGTCAACTTTGCTTCTTGTCTAACCCTGCTTGTTACACCTGAAATCAGGACTCTGGGGTCAACAATGCAGGAAAAGATAAAACTACAAACAAGACCTGGAAGGAAGAGATGGTTGGAGCACAGCATTTTAAAAGCACTGGCTCAGATGTGCAAAAAGGGCAAAGGGGGCAGCCAATGGAGTGGCTAGTGACAGGAGTGGCCTGGGAGTTCAGGTGCCCTAACTCCCCAAATCCTCTCGAGTAGGATTTAATAAAGGACAAACCTGCAAACAGCAAAACTGAGCTCTTCCAGTTTAGAAGGCCCCAGAACCTGACTGGACATCATCAGTCATGACCTTTACTCTCTGGATTTCTGAAACTTACTTTCAGGCAGAAGAAAAAAAAAAAGAATTCCCAGATTATAGAATTTCAAGAGGAAGTGAAACAGCAAAAAAGATGTAAGTCAAAATGGGTTCTTAGGTAATTCCAGCTTCCAGTGCACTTTCAAACAGTGTAACAAGTAATTGTCAAAAAACCATCAAGTGATCTATTTGCCATATTTTTAATAAATGTAAGATTTGTTTTTCCTTCGTCCCATCCCTTGACTAAAATCTGGCTGACTAGGCAGCAGGGCTCAGCCTATGCATGTGATACTCCAGTCCATTTGCAGAAAGTTTCTCAAAGGGCTCTAAAAGAACATATTTCAGTCACTCTTGGAGAAAAAAGAAAAAGAAAAAGAAAAAAAAACAGGTGTTCCCTATCATCAGCCTCATTCGGGAGGGATTGGACTGTATCTGAAAAGTGAAGGTTTTAGGATTTAGAAGCTAGCTGCCTGACAGGAATGACAGAAAATTTTCGAGAAGCTCCTGAGGCATCAGCTGCCTTAGATTCTCAAATACAACCTCAGGCTCAGCCATTACGCCCAGACTAACTGCCAGGATTGTGCAAGCACCACGCCACTCCCTTACAATAGCATGCTAAGAAAGTCATCCTGAGGAAATCGTCTCTGTATTGATTCTATCCAGGTTCTTGGAACTTGCTGGCTTGCCTAAATCAACTTCTTGGGCCCAAGATTCTTAGCCATTAAAAAAATTACTTTCTGTCTTAAGTAGTACTAACTTCTGTAAGAGGATCTTCTGTCTGAGAGTTAAAGCCTCTGCTGGTGGTGACTCTGAGATACTTGGGAACCAGCTCTTGTCTGTGACAGGTGAGTCATGTTTCACCACCCTCTTGATTCCCATGAGTCAGCTGCAGGTGGTGCCTGGGCACAGAGACCAGCTCTGCTGTGTAGTCCTGCTCTTAGAGCCTGTGGCCTTGACCCCTGCTTGAACCATGAAGCCACCCATTGGCAGTATCTCTAAACCACATCACCTGCTGCTGCTACTCACTTGAGGCTTAAAATCTACTTTCTGTGAACACTGTTCGTTCTTGAAGTCTCCAAATGACAGAAGAGAACCTGGAGTCTGAATCTCCCTGGGAAGGGGAAATAGAAGAGCTGTCGTGAGTGGGTAGACTGTGGGCATGTGGGGATGGGAGCATGATCAATCCGGTTGGAGGAAAGTACTGAAAGACTAGTGGAGGGTCAGGTAAAAACCTCCTGTAATTCTCCCAGGATCTACAAGTTAAGACTCCTAGCAAGAGCAGATACATAGCCTGAACTGGCCATCTCCTGTAACCAGGCAAGACTTCAGCCACATAACCTTTGACCTACAGTCTGTCCTGCCTCTAGGATGTGCTGGGGTAAAGGTGGCCTAGAAATTGATTGAGTGGCCATCCTGTTATTCTTTTGTAAACGTTTAAAAATTAGAAACATAAAAAGAAAAGAAGTGAAATCGAAACGAAACCACGAGATGGAAACTGGAGCGAAGGAACACAACTATAGAGAGCATAAAGGGTATATTAATCATAGGATTTATTACCAGGAGATCGAGGGGGCGGAAGAGAAATGGAAGAACAGAGTAGGGCAGAGAGTAATAGAGAATTAGTGGAGAGAGAGGGGGGGGCGTGAGTAGGAGAAGAGAGAAAGGAAAGAGAGAGAGAGCATAAGTGGGCAGGGGTCTGTCTTTTAAAGGGGTCCTTTACACCTGCGTGCAGTCTTAGATCCCATGGAACTCTGGGCTGACCAGGATACTGCCTAAGTGGTTTCTGCCAGGTAACAGGGGCAGGCCAGCATAATGCCTGAACCTTTCACATTCAATGACTAAAACCCAAGCCAAGAGAGTAAGCCCACCCTGACACTGT